CTGCTTTTCTGTCAGTTTGCTGAGAATGATGGTTTCCAGGTTCATCCATGTCCCTACAAAGGACCCAAACTCATCGTTTTTGATGGCTGCATAGTATTCCATGGTGTATATGTGCCACATTTTCCCTATCCAGTCTATTGTCGATGGGCATTTGGGTTGGTTCCAGGTCTTTGCTATTGTAAACAGTGCTGCAATGAACATTCACGTGCACGTGTCCTTATAGTAGAACGATTTGTAATCCTTTGGATATATACCCAGTAATGGAATTGCTGGGTCAAATGGAATTTCTATTTCTAGGTCCTTGAGGAATCGCCACACTGTCTTCCACAATGGTTGAGCTAATTTACACTCCCACCAACAGTGCAAAAGTGTTCCTATTTCTCCACATCCTCTCCAGCGTCTGTTGTCTCCAGATTTTTTAATGATCGCCATTCTAACTGGCGTGAGATGGTATCTCAATGTTGTTTTGATTTGCATTTCTCTGATGACCAGTGATGATGAGCATTTTTTCATATGTTTGTTGGCCTCATGTATGTCTTCTTTTGTAAAGTGTCTGTTCATATCCTTTGCCCACTTTTGAATGGGCTTGTTAGTTTTTTTCTTGTAGATCTGTTTTAGTTCTTTGTAAATTCTGGATATCAGCCCTTTGTCAGATGGGCAAACTGCAAAAATTTTTTCCCATTCTGTTGGTTGCCGATTCACTCTAATGACTGTTTATTTTGCTGTGCAGAAGCTGTGGAGTTTGATTAGGTCCCATTTGTCTATTTTGGCTTTTGTTGTCAATGCTTTTGGTGTTTTGGTCATGAAGTCCTCGCTTATGCCTATGTCCTGAATGGTTTTGCCTAGATTTTCTTCTAGGGTTTTTATGGTGTTAGGTCTTATGTTTAAGTCTTTAATCCATCTGGAGTTAATTTTAGTGTAGGGTGTCAGGAAGGGATCCAGTTTCTGCTTTCTGCACATGGCTAGCCAGCTTTCCCAACACCATTTATTGAACAGGGAATCCTTCCCCATTGCTTGTTTTTGTCTGGTTTGTCAAAGATCAGATGGTTGTAGATATGTTGTGTTGCCTCTGAGACCTCTGTTCTGTTCCATTGGTCTATATCTCTCTATCACAGTTCTTACCACATAGTGTTGCAATGATGTTTCCAGCTTATGTTTCCCTCCCTTCCTCCCTCCTTCCCTCCCTTCCTCCCTCCCTCCTTTCTTCCTTTCCCTTTCTTTCTCATTCCTTCCCTCTCTCTCTCTTTTTTATCTTTCTTCTCTTTCTCCCCCCTTCCTTCCTTTCTTTCCTTTTCTTTCTTTCTCCTTTTCTCCTTTTTTCTTTTTTTCTCCCTTCCCTTCCCTTCCTCCACCTCCTCTCCCCATCCCTCTCCCTTCCCCTCCCCCATCCCCTCCCCCCCCCCCCCCCATCCCTGCACCCCTCCCCCCCCCCCCCCCCCTCCCCTCCCGCCCCCTCCCTTTCCCTTCCATCTTGTTCTGTCACCTAAGCTGGAGTACAGTGTCACTCTCAGCTCACTGGAACCTCCACCCTCTGGGTTCAAGGGATTCTTGTGCCTCAGCCTTTGGAGTAGCTGGGACTACTGGTGTGGGACATCATGTCCAGCTAATTTGAGGTTTTGCCATGTTGCTCAGGCTGGCCTGGAACTCCTGGCCTCAAGCAGTCCACCAACCTTGACTTTTCAAAGTGCTAGGATCATACATATGAGCCACCATGCCCAGCCCTGTCGAGCTTATATGTCTTATTTAAGTCTGAGATTCAGAAAGGCAGACTTAGTCTAAAAAATTCTTCATATCCTGATACTACCTGTTCATGGCAAGGATCCAAAAAATGTTAAAATAAATTGTTGAAATGTAAGCCGAGAGAGTGAATTATTAAGACTCTTTGGTTCTTTTGCTACATATAATTGACTTGAACTAGTTAAAAGTGAGAAAAGGGAAAACAGATTAAGGCTATAAAGTATTTCATGAAACTCAACCCTGGGCTTCAGGTGGGAACTAGGCCACAGGATAAAGGCCATTAGGACTGTCACCTCTGCTTCTCTTTGAACACTTACTTCAATAACTTCTTTCTGAAAGCCAGATTTCTCTGCTTCTCTTGTTTAAAGGTTGATATTTTGCAGTTCCAATCTTCAACTGAGAATAACTCATTGTCCATTCTAATTCTAAATTTCTGGGATTGAGAATCTGACTTGCCCAGCTTGGATCCAATGTCTAAACCAGATGCAGTTGGCCATGGCCAGAAAACAGGCACAAAGAAGAAATGTGGCTACTAGAAACCTACTCCTGTGGACTGGGGGACAGGGGAATGGTCAGTTCTCAGATAAAGGGGACTTAAACACTTCTTATGTTATCTGTTGCAGTGAGGCAGAGGCAGACAAGCTGTCCAAAAAAGAGAAGATGACAGTGTTCTAGACAACTTGGCACCGGAGTACATATAGACTGTCTCAAACAGGAAAATTTTATCTCTAATTCAGGACCAGACCTTTTTATAGGGATGAATCCCTAGAGGAACAAATGGGAGTGCTTAGGTTGTAGGGGAAGAGTCAAGAGTTTGGGGATTGCAAAATGCAAATCCTTGGCCAGGAATGACTATATATAACTTGGTACTGGGTCTGCCCACACAGTACATGTAGGGAGAAAAAAGCCATTCCATGTGTACTTTTACTGTTTATAGAAAAGGGTAATAGATCACAGTCTTAATGCAACAGAGTGACAAGGGCACCTTACCAGATGGCATAAAGTCTGCCAGTATGTTGAAAAAAATGCAATAAAAATGTTTCTGTAATAGAACATTAATTTTTATATACCATACAGCCAACATGATAGAGACCAACAGTAACTAGTATTTGAACTTCTCGAAGGAAAGCCTAGTCTACTGAGAGGAATGAGTGAAACGGGATAAGCAGGTATCATATTAAACTGTGCACCACATAAGTCCTCAGCAAACTTGGTGATGGCTGATGGTAAAATGGTTTTGCAGCCCAGAAGGGCTTCAAGTTTTACTACCCTGGATACAATTGTTAATGTTGATGCTCAGTACGGTGGGAGGATACATTCACCTGTGTATGGAGTATGTTCCTTAACCAGTCTTCTCAGTGCCCCTTCTAAGCTGGAAAGAGGAGAAAGGATTGACAACTGTAACCAGGACATAATGTTTCATTGAACCAAAGTTTGAATTCATCACTGCACTGAGTAGTGAACTAACCAATATGTAGATATTTGTTATTAATATTTTATATTTATTTTTTTGCTGGCTTATATGCTTAAAAGATCTTTGTTTTAAATGCAGGTGACCCAAGGACATACGACCCAGATTTCAAGGGGCCTGTTGCCAATAGGTAAGCAATTCCTTTGTTGGGAATATGCTTTTTTAAACATACACAGAAAGGTTTTGGGGATGGGGGAGGTACTGTTTTCCAGTTAATGGAGAGTTGTGTCTGCTGTGAGGGGGAAATGACTTATTTCTGCCTAAATTTCACCTTTTTACACAGGGAAAGTACAGAGAATAAATCTTTCTATGAGTCATGAATATCTTCCCCCATTCAGCAAATGAACTGCCTTACATTATTAGACTGACTGTTTGTACTTTTCAAAAAGAGAAGACAAAAAAATCCTTTATGAGATTTAACCACTTTGTAGAGAAGCAAACTCATTCAAGTCATTGCTTTATGCACCTGTTTACTCTGGGACTCACCATTGCGAACGCAGGGTTGCCATGCCAACTTCATCAACGCCAAGTATTTGTGTCGCTCAGCTTCCAAGATCAGAGTGCTTTCTCAGAGGCAGTCATTCACCAATGCATCATGTGAAATACTCTAGGGAAATATGTACTCATCTCAGCTGGTGCCTCCTCCCCTCTCCAAGGTTCTGTGCTATTTTAAAATTAGCCAGTAATTCATAGTCCTCTTATTTATTTCAGCCTCGATTTCCAAGCTTTTTGCTAATCACAAAGGGGATTGTGGGGCAAAATGGCTCCATAAGGAGGGAAGACTATGCAGTTGGTAGCTGCTTTTTGCTTAACTTTGATTTCTGGCAGTTGTGTGCCGTAATGAATGGTGATGTGAACCAGCGACCAGCATGCTCATTTGCATGTGCCAACCATCAGTATGTACATTAGCATTTACTGTTATGTCCCTGTAATAGCCTAGCTTTAAAGAGATGTATATTCAGTTTGTTCTAATTTTGTAAAAAGCCAAGTCATTTGTTTCAAGTTACTCATTTAAAGGCACACTTAGAATAAAGGTGCCTTCTTTAAAATGAGTTCAAAATCTCTCCATTCTCTCCATGGTAACACCATGAATACATTTTGTTGTCTAGTATACAAACAGCCTCATTCAATGTGGTAGTTACTTTTACTATAATTATATCCATTTTACAATAACTTGTTTGTAAGCATTGAATGTACCCTATTAGCCTCAAGGGAACTTTAGGTATAAATCAGATTCAACAGTAATAATAATTGTAATAAATAGACTGACACATTTAGAAAGAGAAAATACCGATTACAAGTGTGCCTTTCTAGGCCATAGATAAGAAAGCAGAATTAGGCCTGGCTGGTTTTAGGTGTAGCAAAAGAGGTCAGATCACCTGTCTTCCATTATTTAGAATTTAATAATGGAACTGGGTAGTTCAGGTAAAGTCCAAATGACTGTGATAATCACTGTGAGGAAAGTCATTTATTTTTACCTGGGGCCTTTTGTGATGCCTCCAGCACCACAAAGACCTTCAAAGGTGAGCTGGTCATTCTGTGGGCAGACCTTCCTCTGCCTTCAATCCAAGAACAGAGGAAAGCATTGTAAAACCATGGGGGCATAACTACAGGAAGACATAGTTGGCTCATTTGTAACTTTTTCAGGTAGGGTTCTACACTGTCCTTACTGGGAAAATAATTGGGGTGTTTAAGGAGCAAGTAAGAAGCCCCCAATTCTCCATATGGCCTCTAGCAGCAGGACTGGCTTTAGTAACACCTTGTGCTTATAACATGTGGCCCTCCTGAGAAATCCAAAATGTTATTGGAGATTCAGAGAGACTCATACAGCACTTCCTGCTTGTCAGTCCTCTGTGTTCTGTTTAATTCTCTCAGTTCACAACGGCAGCATTTTGTGCCTAGTCACCACCCAGCTGTCGTTGTTTTGAGAAAAGGTGAAGGAATGATGGTCATGCATAGGAGAGGTGAACTGAGTGTCTCATTTCTTCCCATCTACTAAGAACTGTGTGTGAGAGAGCTATTGTCCAATAACCAAGAGAAGGTGATTTGATAGTTTAAGGTGTTTCCCGGCCACTTTTCACAAAGTTGATCTTCAGGCTCCAAGATTTCTCCCCTATATTCAACAGAATCAGAAAAAGATTAATTAGTGAAAAGGTTTTCAGCACTATCCTCAGTAGTACATTAGACACTGGATATGAATACACATAGAAAACTAAGAAATAAAAGCTCTTCGATAAGACGCTACATGAGAAATTCATCTTGTAATGTAGACCCAATTAAATTTTATTTAATGGAGAATTGGTATGCTTTCTTCTATTAGGTAAAAACCATGTAACTCACTGTTTCTCCTTCTGTACTGACTTGTAGGAAGCCCACTGATATGCCCACTTATCCTTGAGCATAACAACGTCTCATCTTTGTATTATTACCAACTAGCGTAATTCTTCTGTTAGAGTAAGGGGTACTATACACATTTGTTTAAGGAGTGAAGGAAAGAAAACAAGAATGGGAAGGAAGCAGTGTGACATTGAATCCAGGGATAAATACAAGAATGAACTTCAAAGGAGGCTGCGTAACGGCCACAGCGTTGCCACACTTGAGACAAAACTGGCAGCATATGTAAGTGAAGATTCACTTATGGTTTACACTTCAGGACTTCTAAGTCTTTATTTAAAGCTCTTGCTAAGATGCTCTCTGAACCCTATACTGTTTTCAGATGCCATTGGTGTGATATTGGGTTCATATTCCTAAACAAGATACTCTGCTAACAGGAAAGTAGTAGCAGAGTTCTCTGAGCTATTTGTATTACTAGGTCTCATGGAATACACCTCAGACTATTTTTCAAGTCAATTAATTTTTATGAAGTGTCTACAGGGGGCATGACACTGCATATGATGTGGATCTAAGTATGCTGTGTCAAGGGAGGTCAAAGATTTACAGGTCCTCATGCAAAAAGTTCAGCTTATTCTGTTTATCTTTCTTTATATCAGGGCAAAGTCATTAAAATGTTAGGACCATTTGCTTGACCTGTGATCCAAGTCTAAGAAAATAAAGCCCAAATTGCTACAGTTAGCATCTTGTAATAAAGACCACATATTATCATCTCAGGTTTTAGAGATGAAGTTTGTTTTATTTTGTTTTCAATAGAAAAACCCTTCTGAAAAAAGGATGCCATTTTAAAGAATGCTGACATTTTCAAGCATAGCTATGAAAGAAATAATATTCTGGCTGGGCACGGTGGCTCACACCTGTAAACCCAGCACTTTGGGAGGCTAAGGTGGGCAGATCAATTGAGGCCAGGAGTTTGAAACCAGCCTAGCCAACATGGCGAAATCCCACCTTCATTAAAAATACTAAAATTAGCGAGGTGTGGTGCACACCTCTAATCTTACCTACTCAGGAGGCTGAGGCAGGAGAATCTCTTGAACCCAGGAGCTAGAGGTTGCAGTGAGCTGAGACTGTGCCACTGTACTCCAGCCTGGGCAACAGAGAAAGACTCTGTCTCAAATAATAATAATAATAATAGCCATAATTTTTACAAACAGAAAGCCACCCAAGGAATAGGTGCTGTAACCAGGGGTTTACTGAGAAAAAATGAAAAGCTGGACCTCATCATTAATTACTCACACAAATATTGAATGCACACCTCTGTCCTCCAAGGGAAGACCACACAAACATATGAAAAGCTAAAGAGCAAGCACAAGTAGCATGGGCTGTGCACCAAATGTGTGGTCCCCAGCAAAGGCTGCTGCAGGATTTCAGGGGAGGAAGGGCTCTCTGAGGCTGGGGTGAGAGAAGCTGACTCCTGGGCAGGGCCACAAAGCAAGGAAGTCTACCAGTTTATGAGAGGCACTTTCTCCAAACTTAGGAATTTAGAAAATAGCACTGCTTTCTATGGGTTAAGCTAGAAATTAACACATAATTAAAGCAGAGATGAAGATAGTCACTACAGTGAAACCTGTAAGGTTTCCAGTCCAGCAAGCCTTGATGATAAATTTATTCAATGTAATAACATACATAAAGAGAAGTACAAATGATGATCCAAACAACGCTATTCATCCAAGAACTCTCCAGATTAGGGCATCAAGTCAAATTGATGTGAGGATCCTATGTAAGGATACTGTTCTCTTGAACACTGGCTAGCACAGCTGAATGCCATTAGATATTCTATTCATGTAATTCCCCTTGTTCTGACTCCACACTCATCAAGCAACCTTTTGATAATTAGGTTTTTCATGTAGTTTGCCTACTGGGAGGAATGAACTGGTCAGGGAAACATGAACATCAGTTCGTCTCAGCAATTAAATTTCTCAATGTAAATTATTTCATTGGCATTCGGATTTTAGACATTAGTCTCTTGTGAGCTTTGTTAGTGCCAGTCATCATCCCTGAGTTGGTAATTCTAGGGCATGACAAAAATCAATTTTCAGACCCTGCAGAAATGTACATAACTGGTTTGCCTCAGCAGAGAGTTTATTCCAGCATTTAGAGACCTCAGAGTGAGACTGTTGAGGCAGATATGTGAACACAAAATTATGTAGGGCTTTGGATACCATGCTAAAGCATTTGGAGCTGATTCTTAGGCAGTGGGAACTCACTGGAGAAATTAGTATTAGGGGAGTGGTGTGACATCATCAAAACTGTTACTCTCTGGGCTGCTATGTACAGCTCTATGCAGTGGAGCTCCTGGCTTAACTGAAGAGTCAGCCAATCAAGCAACTAACTACATCCTGGTATTATAACTGCACAGGCTACTCTTGGAACACCAAGGAAGAGTGCTTGCAATTCACTCCAGAGCTGATTGGAGGATATTTTTCAGAAGAGAGAATTTTCCATTAGACTTTAATGTTCTTTCAAGATGTCCCCTTTATATAGGTGTTTTAGGTAAAAGAAATATATCAGTATTTCAAAAAGCCTCAGAAGTATATTTATATTTCTGACTTTCTACTAGATAGTTCTACCTGGATGTGCTATGGGCATCCTAAACTCAACATTTTAAAACTTTAACTCATGAACTCCTTTGTGCTTTATACCCTTCCTTCTCCTTTAATGGCGTTTCCTCCCTTGGTGAATGTAACTATAATCAAACTAGTTGTCAGACACAGTAGTACTAGATTCTCGCTCCTACTC